AACTTAGGCTACAAAACAGTCCGTATTTTTGCGAATTCAAGTACGCGAGAGCAGTCAAACATAACAGGGGCACCCAACGAGAATGTAGTTCAAAACCACTTAAACAGTTTTAAACATAGAATTGTTAAACGTATTTTAGTATTTAAACGGTAGATATAGGCATATTTTTATCCCCTAAAATTTTTTCACCTGTTCGGATTTCCTAGCTGAAGGTCTAGTGATCCGAAAATTATAGGGATCAAAACTTACCTTTTCGAAAATTTCAGCCAGAAAAAGGCTCCCGAAAATTCTTGTTGACCTTTTAAGGGAAAAAATCCGTTAAAAATGGGCAATTATAGTAGTTTTTAGATGTTCGAAAATCCTAGGAGAGGCAGGCAAGCGAAAAATTTTACAACAAATGTTCCGAAAATTCTAGATCTCAAATCGTCTTCCGAACAGATATTTTCCGAAAAATGTCGTTGGGTGCCCCTGACATAAGGTCTGGAACTAGGCTGAAAACAGAGAGCGAGACTGATTTTTTTCTCTCGCCTCACGCACCCTACCGTGAGGCTAGCGCGCGCGCTGTACCGATTTCTTTACTGATTTTGACAAAAAAACCCGACTGTTTTGCAGTCTATCGCTAACTCGAACTGTTTTTCGTTTCCCTTCTGAGTTCGAGTAACCGGGGTTCTATATTACTTTCAGTCTTAGTGATAAGTTAAATAGTTTACCACTTTCTAGAAGCAAGTTTGAATTATTCGATCCTGTTACAAACACTTAAAAAAAATCCTTCTATAAGACGCTGAAAAGTTCTCGAAGGAAACGGGTTGAAGACTCCGCCGACATAATATGCATGGCAAGATGCACTATTTCGTGTAAAGTGTCACTCGCTATTTATTTACGCTGCACTGGCTTCTATCTCAAATCACTGTCAAATCGGGTGTACGTAAAGGAACCCCTCCGCCCACAGAGCAAAATTGTAAGCACGTGTATTTTCCGCTGAGGGTTAATTCCTTTGTCATTCGAAAAACCGCCTCTCTAATGGCTATTGTAGTTGTATATTACAACAGCCAATATTCCAACAAAACAGCTAATGAGCAAGAGAGCCACAAAGGGCCGATTTGTGGGGGGTATTTTGAGGTTTACTGTGCGAGTAACTTTATTCTTATGTTTTGACCAGCTAAATGTTATAAATGCCGGTCAATTTGTTTTCAAATTTCAACACAGATCTTTGCTTTATAGATAAGTTAATAAATTTTGCCCTTCGGTAGACAAGTAGCCTGTCCATGAATCGGACGTTTTTCTTTATTTTTCTTTCGAAAATTCGATAGCGCTAAAGACCCTGCAAAGTGCCAGCGAGCTCGAGAACGAGTGCCCCTTTCCTCAACCCAACGGCCCTTGCGTTTGGGGTGGTCTATTAATACCCGGAGTTTTATACATACGCGCGTTCGACAAGTCTAAAGATAAAATAGAGCTGTGAACAAGCTGTAGTATGCATGTATACGATGACTGCACCTGTTAGGAATGACGATGTGGGATTAATTAACGCCTAAATAACAATAGCACGATAATCAGCACAGGCAGCACAGGCGAGTAAAACTATAAAGTGACATCCGGAACTCAAAGAAAATTTATTTTAAAATCGTCGTTCAGTATTTACTGAACTGCGTGCTTACAACAACCCAATAAGCTCTAATTTAGTTCGTCTAGTTGGCACGCACTCGAAATTTATGTTATGCTGATGTTCCCTTACAATCTAACAGCTGATTAAAGCTGAGGCCGGAGATCCCGTCACGTTTTTGTTTACTAATTGAAGATCGAAAATGAACGATAATACTAAGTCCTTATATATTTTCAAGATTTCGGGGTTAGCGAATTGTCATATTTATATAAGAACTGCATCGGTTCGTCGAGACCATTCAGAACCTTCTAAATAGTCAGGGGCACCCAACGAGAATACAGTTCAAAACCACTTAAACATAGCATTGTTAAACGTATTTTAGTATTTAGACGGTACATATAGGCATATTTTTTCATCTGTATGGATTTCCTAGCTGAAAGTCTAGTGATCCGAAAATTATAGGGATCAAAACTTACCTTTCGAAAATTTCAGCCAGAAAAAAGGCTCGAGAAAATTCTAGGTGACCTTTTAGGGTAAAAATCCGTTAAAGATGGGCAATTATTCCATTTTTTTAGATGTTCGAGAATCCTTAGAGAGGCAGGCAAGCAAGAAATTTTACAACAGATGTTCCGAAAATTCTAGATCTCAAATCGTCTTCCGAACAGATATTTTCCGGGTTTTGACGTTGGGTGCACCCGAATAGTCGAAAAGCGCATGCGCATTTGACCATCGAACCTGAAATTTAATTTGATCCCAGCCCGGTGCTGTGATCCCTGATTCTACCTTACTTTTTTGCCCTTATCCCTGATTACATTTTGATACACCTAGGTACAAACCTTAGATGGGTACAGAGGGAGGTAGTAACCTTATAGTGACGATTCTAAATTAAAAAAAACATACAGAGAGATATGGAACCTATATGCGGAGGACAATTAAGGCGGAGTAAGGGGCATATCTGACCTCGTATGGGAGTTGCTCACCCCGGTTTATACCGGGGCCCCCTTTAAGGGCGGATTAAGGACTAAGGCAGTGTCAGATCGATGCTACGTACATTTGAAAAGGCTTATGTATCAATACTCAGCTTTGGAGAATGCCTACGAATATTGACCACAAAACCACGATTCAAGTTTGAACAGGTTGAAAGTTGCTCATGATATTGCACTCCGTTTCATTTTTCCCATAACTCGTAGCAAAATTACAGCTGGCTCCAATACAGTTCCAATTATCGTAGTTCATTTGGTGGGTTCCTTCTCGGGTCATATTTTATCTCCCCTTAATTTAATTACGTAACGTTTTGCAACTTTTTAACTGTAGAGAAAGTTCACAGTGCGAGTGAATGCCAGAGAGACGAGAAATGGGATCAGTGCCACCGCTGGCCAACCGCAATTATGTGAAGATCGAAATTTAGTCCTACACGGATTTGCCAAATTCACAGAGTGCCGCGGTTGGAGCAAAATATATCATATCGCATGCAAATCCTAAAATTGTTCTAGTAGATCACAGAACTGTGCGTGTTGTGAATCGAAAATATAAAGGCCTTCCGGGTGTAAGTTCTTGGAGATATTGTTGACTCTAGAAGCTTCTCTCGCATGCCGGGGTGGTGTACATATTAAAAGTTTGCCTGTTATAATGGCTAGTGAGATAAGGTTAATTCTTTCCGGCTGTTGAATAGAAAGGGGCATATCCTGTAAATCTTAGATGCAATTCAGTCATTAATGTCAATAGTTTTCTAAACACGTTCCGTCGTGTCCATAAATTGGCTGTTCAGTTTTTTATTCTATTCTTGATCAACACCGGCATTCATACCTAAATATAACCATACCGTTGACAAAACGATCTGAATCAACTTGTAGCGGTATTTGAACAGTATTTAAATCCCACCGACGCGATTTTTATTCGTTAACTCAAAATTTAAAAAAATCTCAGACGCAACTAGAAGGTTAGCCCCTTGAGGTTCACTCGGCCACAGACCCTACTGAAATGAGTGGTTGAATGATCTTATTTCCCCCGTCCATTTCAGGCCGTCCACTCTGATAACAACTCTCGCTCGAACGTAATAATCCTCTTTTGAACATAAATTTTTATTCTCTTTCTTTCGAAAACGATCATAGAAAACTTTTATCATTTTACAATTATAATTTATTTCGTTATTTGTTTGACTATGTCATGACACATAAATTTGCTATTTCCTATTCCAAAAATCTATATTTTTAAATTTGGCGTTTTCCGTACGCTACCAATGCACGGCTTGTCCATTACTTGGCGTTAAACAGATATTATGATGGTAAGAAAAGTTCTGTAGATGCCTACCAATGCCTTATTTCACCAGAACATTTCTAATTCTATTTCGCCGCCCTCTGTCACGAGGGCACGAACTCAACCTTACAAGTATCGGTTGCCATGGCAGCGCGAACAATCACAACTTTCTCGACGATTTTTTTTAAGTCTGGAAAGAGATTTTGTCTTGTTTTTATACCAGTGAAAGGAAAGTCCTATTTGTTGAAATTCAAGAGACAGCTATTGGCTACAATGACAGTTTCTACTTGAAGGGAAAACAATAATAAAAAGCCTTTGGAATTATTTTCAACTATTATAATTTGTATATTTCGTCATTGACAAAAAGTCATTCTCTTCGACCGGTAAATCACAAGGATTATCGCTGCTGTGAGTCATCAACTGCAGCCTCATTAGCGAAATTCGGTGTTCACCTTTGATGCATTGTTAAGCGACTTCGGAAACAATTCGTCATGAGGAAAATATATCCCTTTTCTCACGCACGAGTCTTGTGACACGAAAATTGTTCGTCAGCAAACGTATTCGCGAAAATATACAGATATCAAATAGCCGAACGGGATATTTTTTTTCCAGCGTTCTGCTACGTGGTGTTTTCAAGCTAATGATGCAATTTATTGACCATATGACGGTGTCGAGTAGAGCGCAAAATGTGCCGCCGCACGAATATGCAAATTTTGAAGGAAATAGGACGGAAAGGTTTCGTTTTTAGTTGCAATAGCCTTTGTCTTTTCAGCGAATCATAGACCGTTAATTGCATCAGATGACCTAACGATGACGAAACAGCTCCTTATTTGGAGAGGTGGGCCTGTTAGGACCGCAAAACACAGAGCCTTCATTGCGTCAGTCCGAACTGATGTGTCCTCAGAAATAATTTTTCTTGCGAAACTTCAACGTCGAAATAAGTTGAGTATTAGAACATCATGGCTGTTGCTTTCTACCTTGATTGCTAGAGGAAGGCCGGACGGGCCTTCTAGCGAATCAAACCATCTGTAAGGGTAGAATTTAAAGTGAAACGGGCGACTTTCGATCGAAATTATTGTCGCGTTACAAGCTGACTTACGCCATCACTTCGCCACTTTCGTGCAACGTCATAGCTCTTAGTTGGCAAAAACGGAATACAAGTTGAGTTGTACATCGACGCATTCTGTTGATTTGGTTGGCTCGATTTCTCTGTATTCGTCTCACGGGTAGAGAGTTAATTTGAAAGAAAATTCTGTTCCTTTAAATGAACTCTTCGACGATTCGCTACCATCCGTATCAGCGCAATGCATCCAAAACAAATATTGAATCTACGCCATTACCAAACTTGACTATAACGCATCAAGCAACGAAGCGGACAAATGATTTACCGCAGATATGCAAGGTCGGAAAATATCTTTTATTGGAACGACCCGGTGGAAGTGCTTTATACAAAGCAGTGGATACCGAGACGAAAACAGAACTTGCTTGCAAGATAATAGACGTGAATAAATTCCGGGAGACGCTTGCGCCGATGTTTCATCTGCCACCTCACGACGGCATCAACAAGATTATCGAAATTTTGGTCAGTGACTCGTACGCTTATGTATTTTTTGAGCGATCTTTTGGGGATCTGCACTCGTATGTCAGAACAAAACGCAGACTGAAGGAAGAAGAGGCCAGCAAATTATTTCGCCAGATTGTCAGTTCTGTTGCTCATTGTCACGACTCGGGTGTTGTCTTACGCGACTTAAAATTGAGGAAGTTTGTGTTTCAAAATTCTGAGAGGTAAGCGCTATATTTTTTTGTGGTCTGTTAACAGCCAGTCTTTCAGATGCCTTTGTTGCTTACAGCTTGATTTTATGTCTTATTTTCCATGTGCTCTGTTGCTTAGGCTATTCAGTATTGTTCAATTTCGCGAGGTCCTCCTCGTGGCAGGATTGTGTGAACTGTCTTGTAGCGTGGCCTGTGGACGGGTATGGTTTTGTAGTGCAAAAATTTTGTTGTTGAATTTCTCTTCTCCTCATTTTCTTGTTCAATGTTTTATTTCTGGTATTTCTCTTAAAAGCCACAGACCCTCTTTGAAAAGGATTGCACCCGATCAGGACCGTGACAAAAGCTTAGAAATCTGCCTTGTTTCATCAAAATACTGTTTCGTGAATTTGTGTCCATTTCCGGTTCGCAGTGTTTTGTAGGCACCTGCACTTGGAATGTATGAAATTTATTCGTGGCGTAGTTTTAGCCACGAATAATTGAAAACTGGTCAAATTTAAAAAGAAATCTTTTCGATCCGAGGGTGAAATTAAAGCAGATTATTTGGAGACATTGTTAGATGCGAAAAATTATGATAATTTTGTGTGGGTTGAAGTATTATCATTTCCGTGGCTTTCGTCATTCGAAGCCAAAGCGTGTCCTTGTGGGATCAATAGAAATCAACGTACAATGATGGCAGAACGATCAGGACTTTGGTCTTTTCCGATGAAACATAATTTACTCGTCGCCTTTTTTTTTTGTCACTCCCTCCTCCTTGTCCTGTTCCGGAAATGGCGGGTGTCTGCGGCGGGAATTTTAATCTTCAACCCGTTCACCTACACTGCGCGAACATATCATTGGTTCATCAAAGGAAATGCTATTAATTTTATTAGCTTTCGGGAAAAATCCTCTACTTTCTATGAATCGGATTTAATTTGGGAGTTAATGTTGTGGTAGTTTTGAGTCTCTGGCAGATGAAATCATCCTACACGTGGCAATTTCAAATCTTGGAACGTTGCAGATTTTTCAAGGGGGCCGGCGAGCCACGTGGAATCGCGATACGGCCTTTGTGCTTTCTTCTCGAGACATGCCGTTATTTGAACGACAAAGCAATTCATTGTGGAAAACAATTAAGTTGCACGCTTTTATTCCTTAACCTACGGCGTGTTTCAACGATTGCCTATTGATTGTTTTGGTTTTCAAAAGACGATCGCTCGTGTTGACAATTCTTTGATTCTTAGCCGTAATCTCATTTATAGCCAACTTTCTTTCCATTCTAGTTTAAGCGGTTTACTTTTAATAACCCTTGAAATTGGCCGAGATTTCCTCGATATATTGGTAGGGAAATGTATATATATTTGTCCTTGTCCTTAAGTGCTTCTTTAAAAAAGTGAATTAAAAATCGCTTGTGTCAAGGATAAAATTTCTGATCACCATATGGCTTTATAGACCACCTCGAGTTGATCTGTATACCTTAAAACAAAGGCTGCCATTTTGTCTATCCGAGGTGTTTCAGTTTCATTTCCGTGACATGACGCTCGTTCTTTCGCTTCCTTTCGACTTTGCTTTTTTGCGCTAATTGTACGCTGGCAGTAAGCTTTTATCGACAGACGGAAGGAAAAATAAAAGGAGAGGGGCCAGTCTAAATACAGCTGCAAGAAATAATTGCCCTGTTCCTTTCATTTTAAGACGGAACTGAGAAAAAACTTTTGTTAGGCAAAAAAAAGGTACGATCGTACGTTTCGAGGCGGTGACAATGAAAATTCGCGTTCTTGAAACAGTTTCACAAGTAATTTGGATAATGATATCGTGGTTGTTAATGTAAGTATTGAGCCCTTTGATTATCTGTTCGATCGAAATGAACAATCAGAAGTCACGCCACCTTTTGTTTTCTCCAAACGTATACTGTTGCTTTCAGGACAAGGAATAAGAAATTTATTATGCCTCTTCTGGTCCATGTGACAATTAAACTTGGGCTTTATACCTCATTGTAAGGCAGCTGTTCAGGTGGAATGCTTTTAACCGAAATTTCGCAATGGGGAAGAAAAAACTATACTCAAAAGGAAAGAGGTGAATTAAATAATTTTTGAGTCTTTGAAAAACGAACCCCCTTGGAATTTTCGATGCTTTTGCGTTTCGTCAAGTATATCCCTAATGGGGTTAAATTTCGAAATCTAGCCATGGTTTTTAATTCATAAATAACTCAAAGAACACCCCCAAAAAATCAAGATAAGCGAACGAAGAGAGGCAGGTTTATATAGGAAATTGTATCGTTCATTTTGTTTCCTGGTAGAAGCAAATGTTAAAAGCGTAGAAAGAACAACCTGACAAAGAAATTGGATTCGATCTTTGGAACATCAGTTTATCATATGTGGTAGTGTCTTTTGTTTACTACTGAAATGTATTAGCAGTTAGCGGTCTCGTGTTTTTAAGTAACACCAGCACTTCTTGAGGGAATGTCATATTGATGGAATAAGTCGATCATTACACGTGGTTTTTAGGCATCATTTTCTCCTGGTCTCCGCCTTTTTTTTGCCTTTTGAAAATTCTTGCAACAACAACACTATAAGTTTTCAAATCCATCTTTCCTATTGCGAAAGATCTTCGTTAAGTATACTGAAAAAAAAATCATAAAAGAGTTTATTTTGGTTTCCTTTTGGGAAATAAATGTATTTTTTCATATATTGACCGTCATATGTTGGAAACTAATTGAAACACTGTCATAGACGTTAGAGGTTAACGGGCTTTCGGGTCGATCCTTTGTCTGCTTATTTTCGTTTACACATCTTTATCGAAAGAGAAAAAAATAAAATAAAAACACAAGCTGTCGACCTAGGTTGCTCGCTTTTATAGAAAATTAACTTTAAAAGTGCTTTCCCTTGATTTTTCGGATAAGCTTTTTAAGGTTCGCCTTGATTTTTACGTGCGAAAAGTAGGCACGTGGGGGGCTCGCCGGCGCGCTGGAGCCATGCCATTGTTCTTTGTTAGGTTTTGCCGCTTTTGTGTGTCTTAAGGTGACTCAGCGCGCAACGCAAGATCGAAATTTCGTACAATAAAGGTTAATTTACAACAAATAAAGAGAGACGTTCTGTGATGTGAAAGTAAACAGAATCGCAACGAATAGTCTCATCTATTAACAGAAAAGCACCGCGCAATGAGCTTTGGTTGGAAAAGCCGCGAAAAACGTCTTTTGGAGTAGACTGTCAGACCTGCTTTTGCTGAAAACGAGCTTAACTTTTAAGAAAGTTATGGGCTTTTGTTCATGTATTAACAAGCAAATTTTTTACTTCTTTCTCATCAGAACTAGCGTGAAACTCGAGGGTTTAGAAGACGCGTTCCCTCTTGACGGACAAGATGATACGCTTGAAGACAAGCATGGCTGTCCAGCGTACGTTAGTCCAGAAATCTTACAAGCGAGTGGAGGCTATTCAGGCAAAGCAGCGGATATCTGGAGTCTGGGTGTCATGCTGTATACAATGCTTGTGGGTCGTTACCCATTTCACGACACTGAGCCCAGTGTGCTCTTCACGAAAATTCGGCGCGGACATTTTACCATTCCGGACACGATTTCATCCAAAGCTAAATGTCTTATTCGGTCCATGATGCGGCGAGAACCAACCGAGAGACTCGCTGCCAGGGAAATTCTCGAGCATCCATGGTTTATGTCTAGTTTTCATATCACTAGTCCTTGTAAAATAGATCAGAAGCTTGCAGACCAAACGGTACCAGACCTCGCCGCGGACGACACACCGTCGTTCTTCGTTTGAGTCTGTCTCGCCTTTATAGCAGATTATTTAAATTCTACTGTACATATATATGACTTCGTCTTCGCTGTAGAGACGAGTCTGAAGAGAAAATTATGTCTAAACGCAGATAATTTATTGGCTTAATTTTTAACTTTTAAAGTTATTGCTAGTTTGGAGACTGTATGGAGTTCCTCTTCTTCTGGCGGGTCGTTTTACCGAGACCGGAACGCTTGGCTTTGTTTGACGCCCGCTGTGACAAGAAGAACATCGTGCAGTTGGCTTGTTTGTGAATTTTTAGCTTTCTTGACAGCGATATTTGCCTTCAAGATAATCTTATTTTAGGAAATTTTTCGGACTTGTATATTTTCCATTTAGAGATAATTTTTTTTGTGCTGAGTCGGGAGAAAAAACGGCAACAACTGCTGATTTTTGGCTCCGTGTGTCAAGAAAGGGGGAATTTTTGCTAGCTGCCTTGTGAATTGCAAGGCGTATGGTTGGCGTTTGTTGAACGAGAAGTCTCAACATTTTACTGTGCTGCAGTCATGGTTTATTGTTGCGATTAAAGTGTGAGAAAAATATGAACGTTGTCTCTCTTTTCTCTAAATAGCTTCCAGTGTTACCACGTGAACTCTGCATTTGAATGATTTGTCCGAGTGAATACTACCTCGACTCATAAAAGCACCCTCTCAGTGCAATCAACATTATTTTGTTATTGCTGCTGTATGCCTGCATGGCTTTACGCGTTTCTCCCTGCCACGTCGCTTTCGAACTCCACACATCTGAGATTCGCTTACAGTAAGAACCACTCTGGTACAGTCGTCGTCCTAAGATGCCGTTATCCCTTGCCTGCACTTGAAGTTACAAGGGATGCAAGAAGCCTCATCTGTGAAATTAGCGCCCACAAACCAAAAAATTCTCCAGACTTATCTTATATTTCCTTTCAAGAATTGGCTGAGAGAATTTGAGGAGTGATTAATTATTATTTTATGAAATCTCGTTACCTTTGGTCTTGATTAATGTGTAACTAAATAATCATATTAGAGGTGAATCGGAACGTGGGAATGTTGGTCTTTGAGGAAGGGGGGAAAACCGGAGTACCCGGAGAAAAACCCCTCGGAGAAAGGGAGAGAAACAACAGCAAAATCAGCCTGCTTATGGTGTCGACGCCGGGATTTGAACCCGGGCCACTTTGGTGGGAGGTGAGAGCTCTCACCACTGCGGAAGGTGAAGAAAATTTATGTAGATCACCCTCAGGACTTAACAAAAACTAGAATGTGTTTCGTCCTGTGATGTAGCGGCCCCAGCTGTTAAATCCAGATGCCAAGGCAACATATACTGCATACAATGAGTCAGAGTGGGGGCGTACATGTTTCCTGTGTCGCAAAGTAGGTCATTATTAGAAAACAAATGAAAGTGATTAATACGGCGAGTGGTTTGAGGGCGTGTAACATAGAGGCAAGGGAGTGGGCGAGAAGGTCTTTCTTTACATCTTTTCTTTCGTTGGTATTTCCTGTTATTTTCCTCTTTTAGTGACGCTTGTGATGAAACAACGTAAACACAAACGATGTTGGCTTTCAGATCCGACAAAAGAAAAAACTAAGGCAAAACACTACTAAAAGACCTGGAGAAGAGGACAGAGGCGGATCCAGGATTTTTTAGAGGGGGGGTGCACTCGTCTCTTGCTCTACTCTAACACCAACAAACCACATAGTTTTTTTTTGCAGAACACCAGTTGTCACTACGAGCCTCAGCGCTCCGGAAGTTAAAAAATTCGTACCGTCTGGTTGCTATGAAGTGACGTAATCATCCAGTTGAGTATCCATCACCGTAACACTTTTGCGGTCAACTACCGCAGCGCTCGTAAAGTACCTTAATTAAAACCGTGTTCAAAACCCTCTAGGAAGTCTGTTTATTTTTGAGTCGATTAATGCACTGCTGACTTTCACGAGGTCAACTTTTGCATAAATTATCAAACATTATGTTAAGCGGGAAATCTACCTATGGTTCGCGGGAGAAGCAACTTCGAAAGCGGCGCAAGACAAATGTTTCGAGAGTCGAGGATGTGCTCACAAACTATTCACTATGCGACGAAAGGAGAAATCACTGGCATGATAGCTGCATGTAATGGTAATTTTATCAATCCAGGTCGCGCCNAATTTAGTTTACATCCGTTAGCCACCCAACACAGGAGAGATCGGGCTCGTTCTCATTTATGAGGGCACTGAAACAGGTCCGAATCGTCAACTCTCGTTGATACTTTTGATACTTTGAAAACGAAATAGTGCATGGGAAGGGAAGGCAAATAATGTAGAAGTCAGGAACACATTCCGCGGAGTTCTACTAACGGATTTATCGGCGTCGTCAATTGTGTTTTAAAACTGATCACATCCTCGTCCCAGTGCCATAGAAAATGTGACACCTGGTCAGTCAGATCGAAGGCTTCCTTTTTACCTGAGGCCTCCACTGCACACCAGAACGGACGCCAATTTTTTCGCCAGGAGCCACCGGGTATACAAAAAAAAACAAAGTAAAACGACAACAACAAGACAAAGCCTGTTTTGCAGGCTAACAAAAACATCTCTACGTAAAAAAGAACATAAAAAAGTAGGTTTTAAAAGCAAAACAACAACTCTGCAGGTGCATTACACTTTTTTGGATTTCTACATTTCTCTACCGTGACCGCCTTTGGTAGACTAAATTTAAGTTTTATCGATCGAGGACGTGAACACAAAATCAAGATTTTCTTTTCCTTTTTCAACTTTAAGAGTTGGGAGTTAATGTGTCCGTTTGACCGATTTCAAACTTTGCCGCAAAAACTAACAACAACACGCAACAACATGCAAAATGGTTGTAAAGGGACGCAACATGTAATATCCAACAATGTTGCGTCCGTTTGCACGGAACTTTATCACCTTTATAGATACAACTTTAGAAAATTACAACTTGATTAAAATAAGAAGGAAAAGTAACGAAAAGATTCTTATAGTGTCGGCTTAGTTTTTAAGACTTCTTGACGAAAAGAAGCAAAAAAAACCGGTTTGATTGAAATTATCTGATCTTCTCTATTTGTAGACCGTCGACGGCACCCAGTATTAATCTTCGTATTTTCGTTCGACGTTTCAGTTAGGGCGCATGCGGGGGTCAAGCAGGGGGCAACAATGCGCGAACAGCGCGGCTCACACCAAAAAGCGCTAAGGAATGGTCGCACAATCACCCATGTGAACCGTTTTAGGTTTTTGAGATCTCCTTTTCACTTTGTATTTGTCATTTAGTTTAACTTATTTCACAGTACTATTTTTTGCTTAGCATTTAATAAATTCTTGTTTTTCACTCCCATGAACCAAAGAGAAGGCAGAGTTTTACAGGAGCAAGTTCTGGTGATGGTTAAAAGGTATATAATCGTTTACTGATATTGGTGAGTTGAATTCAGGGCATTTTGATATTGTCACCGCGGTCCAAACATGTTTACCCTCGGACTCATGCAAAGAGAAGGTTTTTCTGATATTTGTGATTAGCATGATTAATTAGCTGAAAACTGCCACACGCCCCGATTAATTTGGGGTTTTAGATTCTTTTTAGATTTCAGAACCCCACCTTACAAAGTATTTTAATTACCAGCTTTAACTTCTTTTACAAGGTGGGAATGCAGATTAGAAGTTTATCCGCCTCCTTTTACAATTAGTTAACAGGATTAATGCCATTTCATCAATAAAATAGAGCATGGGGTTGAACCGAAAAAAGTATTTATAAACAGCACTCTAATTTTTTTCGTCATTCACCGGCTGTCGGATAAAAATTACCAGTATCAAGAGAGGATGAAGCAGCTTTTGCCAGTATTAAAAAAAGGCATAGAACCCGTCTATAATCTAGGTCTTTCCCACTGCCTTGCATCTCTTCGGGGCATGAACAAATGGGAAATTCTCCCACTGGACGAAGCTGGACGAAAAATGGATTTGCACACTTAGTTTTCTCCTTGCAAAAATGCCACACATTTACAAAAACTGAGGAGTAAATCTGGGCAAAGATGGTAAATGCCACATTTTCCTAGTTATTTACACCCCCTATTTTTTGGTATGCAAATGTGACATTCACCATCTTTGCCCCACATTTAATCCTCTGTTTTTACAAATTTGCGGCATATTTGCAAGGAGCAAATTCATTTTTTCGTCCAGTTTTCGAGCTGCGGCGCGGCCTCTATAGTAGTAGTGGTCTAATATTTGGGGGCTGAGAGATTTTTATTTTTTCCACCGCTAATGATAATGAATAGATAACTGATATTGTCCGTTATTGATATTGCTCATTGGACACTCTTGACCAAACAAGATATGTTGTCCATTTGTGAATGACCCCAGCAAAGAATTTCAAGAGTGATACTAAGAGAGGTCATAAGATGTGGGCTAGATCGAGTAATATTCTGATATAACTGATACAATGTTAATATCAGTTTTAATTGTAAGAACTTGTCATATATATCTGACCCCATTTGTTTAAGGTGCAAGGATAATGAACGCTATCAGAACAGAATGAAATTTCTCTATCAAGTGGGTAGTGAAATTGGTTTCCCTAGTACTTATCCCCTAGATATTGATTTGTCTACTGGATTGCGCTATGCCGCTTTTGAACAACTGGCCGGGCCAATACATTTAATGTTGAATGTGAAAGAGAAGGTTGTCAACTCCGCGTCTCCCCAGGCCTTCTCGGTCAAAATTAGGCATAATCCACATGGGAGAAAAGACAGAAGCCAATTGAGTTTTGCTGTTGTTTTGGGCAGGGGTTTAATGAAAAAACGGCAAGTCGTTACTCTATAAATAGTATGAACGCATTGCTGAGTTGGAAATTCAGTTTGTTACTATTAAGGTTATGATTTTCAAATACTAAACTAGCAAATGATAAACGCCGATGCAAAAGAGATGTCGGCTTTGGCCAAAAAAAAAAATGAAAACAAAAAGCCAAAGGTAGATGAAAAAATTCTTTCTAAAAAAGCTACTTTGCTAAAATATATATAAGAAATATGAACAACCGTGATGACGAAAACATTTATTCAAAAAAAATTAACGGTCATCCTCTCTGTTTATTCCATATGCGGGCCTTTAACCTTTTTAAAAACTTAATTGAAGTGAGCAAAAACGTAATTTACGTTTACGAGTGCAAGTTTTAGGCGAAAGAGAAGACGGCTAATCTCAAGAACAACTTCATCCCCAAGGGTACCTATCCCTGTCGCTGACCAAAAGGAAAGCGGCCTCTTGGTAAGAATATCAATTTTAAGGCAAACCACAACGAGCTGGATAGTACTGAGAGCGAAAAATCGGTCAGTAAGAAGCGCAGGGTTTGTGTAATCCTTCACTTAGTAAAATATCTTGAATACTTAGGGTAAGAAAAATAGTAAACTGATCCATACGAACTGTAGAATATCAAGAGAGGATAAAGTTTTATCCTCTCTTGAGAATATGCATTTGCCTAATATTTCGATTTTGAAGCAAACCTTCCACCGGGGCTGACTGGAAAAAGGCTTGTTTTGCAAGCTGAAAACCGGAAAACTATTTGATACTCTTTGTTTTGTTCTTGTTTTTTTTTTCGGTTGTTCTTCATTTTCGTGTAAGTCTTCTCAGTGTTCTTGCCGTGGGGACTCTTCTCCCAATCCCCTCATCCTTTCCCTCCCTCCCCCTCCCCTGTCTACGCCTGCAACGCAAAGTTGTGCGCATGCCTCGGGAACCGGCAAGAGGAACTGCAAACCACGGAAGAAGATTCTTCACCCTAACAACCTGGGGCCAGTTGCTTAAGAGGTGGATAACGCTATCCACTGGATAAATCCCTCTCTAGTGGATAACGCAATTGGTCTTCGTACTCATCCGCTGCGCGCGGATAGCAATTTATCCGGTGGATAGCGCTATCCAACTTTTAAACAACCGGGGCCTGAAGAGGGGCAATTGTCTCGGATAAGTTTCAGAAATCAAAACTACAAAGATGGATAGAGCAACGTGGCGGAACATGTCTGCTGTCCGTGCTCGGCTCGGGAGAATTTTCAATTGAGATTTTCAAATACTTGCTATCCCTGTTCCGCGTTTGGTGCGCTTAAGAGAGACCAAAAGGAAGTACCTGTAACGAAAAGAAGCTTAATTATTATTTTTCAAATCAGCAGATCCTTCCGATAATGAGTAAGTATTATTTCCCCTGACACGGGAGCTCCTGTTTATAAATCTTCGATCCTTGTTTGGGTTGGTCGGAATATAATGCGGTACGTGACCGGTCGGTGTGGTTTAGTACGTGGTAGGAGTGACCGGCAGTTTGGGCCTGGACACTAACCGCGTAATTCGCCGGAACCTTTCGATCGAAATCCTCGGAAGTTCGCCGTAAAAATGCTCCCGAAATGAGTTGTTAGAACAGATCCCTTAGCAAAAACATCAACCATGCCTGAGAAAATAAGCGTTAGAAGCTTCCTCGACGAAGCTAGGGAGGACGTTTCGTCCCCGACGACCTCCAATTTCATATCAACAATGAGCTTATGTCGAAACACTGTCGGATCGCTAGAGGAGGTGAGCATTTTGTTTTCACTTTTCATTAGGTACTTACTCGATTTTTGTTGATTGTTGAATGTTATGCTGCATAATAAGGAACTAAAGTGCTTGATCGTTGGCGGTTAGTGTTAATAACAGCGGATTTAGGTGTTTAGATCTAATAAGGTTCGATTTTTAATTACGATAATTGATATATTCTATGATCACCAATGTTATTTATAAACATGGCAGGTTTCGCGGAAAACGATTTCCGATAAGCTTGGATTTCTTTGTCCTCTTTGGAATTCGTTTATATATAATGTAGAATTTTAAGCAACAGCTGTATGGCTAGGTTTCGCTGATAATGTAGTTAAGTTTGAAGAAATATGAAACTTGTGTGAAACATGTAAGCTTATAATATAAGTTTATTTGAATTTGACAAGTGATAAATCTTGTTTAGGATAGTAAACTTTTTGTTATGGTCACGTTGACGAAATATTTCTTTAATTCTATTGTACTGTCCTCTACTACCGGTAACTGGCAAAGGAATATTTTGGAGCTGTAAATCCAAAAATGTTTTGCATTTGTTCCCTGCATTGTTGTCTGTATTATATAAGCAGTTTTCATTTTCCAGTTTCCATTTAAATATTTCTCAAAAGGTTGAGACTGAAGATTTTAATAGACTCTGAATCTGATTAAACTTTTATGTCTAAGGCAATTAATTTGAAAATACTAGGCCATCCCTTTTTTTTCTCCATTTTAATAGTTTTTAGTAACGTTAAGAATCTGACCCTGTTTTTTGGGTTTCCAAAAATCTTTGTTCCTTGTATTGCACTTTGTCATTGTTAACTCCTCGCCTACCAGAGCCAAATACACCCACCAACTGGCCAGACCTTTCTCAACGACCAGAGTTCATTTCTTCAGGCAACTCGAACTACCTGACTTTTGGTGATTTCATATGTCGGAAGACGTATATTATGTCCTGGGTTGCTGAGTGACCTCACACAGGATGTATTTAACAATTATTCCTCAATCCCGAATGGGCTCTTAGTCAATAGCCCATGAGGGTGAGAGAGGGTGAGAGAGGGTGAGGGATAACTGTTTTAGTAAAATCCAACTAGTTGGTCAAAAATATCAAGGCAAAACAAATTTAGCTAGCAAAACGTGATTCAGCTGCCAACGTTTTGGTTTTCAAAGCCAGCACTTTTCACTACTAGTGGGCTATAATATATATCCCAGTAGTAGCTCAACTAATCAGAACGCAGCATTTATGATGCAATAGACCACTAATTGGATTTTACTTAATAAAATTATACGTCCTTGGTAGCCAAGGGGTTAAACAGAATTTTTGCATTTAATACAGTTTTATAAACAGCATTTCTTTATGCTGAATACCAGTTTCAAATGCAATAGTAGAGGAAGTAGCCAATTTTCTTCAATCCATAACTATGTTTTGGTTGGTAAATTCCTTGTGTTTGATTTTAATCAGTCCACATGTCATGCATTGCTCTTGTTTTCCTCAACCACCATAATTACCATCATCAAGGCTGCACTCTAGTTGTACCCAGTGGTTCCTGTCACCTTACCTTTGCTCTTGGGTGACTAGGGAATCTTATTTTTTCATAGAAATCCTATGCTTAGCATGCTAGTTTTTC